CTTAGGTAGGTAGGTAGGTAGGTAGGTAGGGTAGGTAGGTAGGGTAGGTAGGTAGGTAGGTAGGTAGGTAGGTAGGTAGGTAGGTAGGTAGGTAGGAAGGTAGGTAGGTAGGTAGGCAGGCAGGTAGGTTGGCAGGGAGGCAGGTAGGTAGGTAGGTAGGTAGGTCGGTCGGTCGGTCAGTCGGTCGGTAGGTAGGTAGGCAGGTAGGTAGGTAGGTAGGTAGGTAGGTAGGTAGGTACGTATACAAAGTAGAACTGCTTGTATTCTGCAAACCTTGCTCATGCACGTTCTGTGACTTTGGCAAAAGCTCCAGACCCCGTCTCAGTGCAGTACGACTTGGGCCGGAAGCCTGACCTGCGGTGCAAAAGGCCTGAGTAGGGCGAGGCTATGAAGCTCTATCTCAGCCACAGCTGCCGTAACAGTAAATAGACAAGTCTGACTTCAGTAACCTTGCTGGGCGACCGTTGAGGCGCAGGCTTCGGGTCCTCTCCAAGGAAGTATCCGAAATCGATATGGAAAAACCTCGGCTCGTGCCGTGGATCTGGAGTGTGACAGGGCTGATGCTCCTGGTATCCAGCGAAATCATAACCGGCTTCGACAGTTGGTACTCTGGGCTCAATGTTCGACAAAGGTGCAAGTCTTCTTGCCATTTACATTGCGAAACATCGGTACGTAAGTCAAACAGTTGCATTCAGAAGCATATTGCCTGTACGGGTCACTCACTCCTAGGAGGGCTGTGCCTTTCTGTCAGGCGGAGCGAGACAAGCCTCATGACTGTATCGGACACAGGACACACACACACACAGCTCGCCGTCTAAAGACACTTCCTGTTTTTGGGCAGAGCCTATTGCAGCTTTACTTGTGTTAGCTCCCACTTTGTCAGGTGATACTCAGATTATGGCCTTCGAAGATGGCTTCCATGTCGTGTAACAACACGTCGCCAGTGTCGCTACCAGGTGTCATCCTGCCTGTTGCAATGCCTGCATCTGAAACCAGCTCGCGGTGCTTTCGCCCTGGACTTCACCCGAAGAGGGGAAGTTCCTAGCTCTCCCAAGCCACTACAGCGGAGGGCCTTACTGATTCGGGTAGGTTTTGCGAGCAAACTATAGTAAAATAAACTATAGTGCATACAAGGAGTGCACGGGAACACGAGTATTACGCAGACCTTTGCCCTGCTGCTATATAAGTGAAGCAAACCCCCAACCCCAAAGCCCGGCGCCTGAACGCCAAAGCGCAAATCCCTGAACCCCCAGCCCTAACCTTAAACCCCAAAAACCCGGGCTGAGCGTTCCACTGGCCCTGCTTTGTGATGCAGATGTTCTCCAAGTGCCGGTCGCCCAGCCCCAGGACCTCGGATAAGGGGCTTTGTATAGTAAATAATACAATATAGTACACCACACATAATAAGGTATGATATACTGTGGTTTATTGTACTGAAATATACGGGCTTTCTAGCATTCTATGGGGGTTTATATGGGTGCTTTTGTGTTTTTATGGTATGTTACGATACACGTTTCTGCATATACACCGGAAGGATGGCTTTGATGTGGAGCAGCTTGAAAACTGGTACGACTGCCATTCATTCACGCCGCTAGGGCGCAGCATACTGGCTGTTTCTCGATGGTGCAGGAGGGTGCTGTCGTGGATTTTCAAGTTTGTGAATTGGGCTTCCTGTGGAAAAGGTGGCCTCAAGAATGAGAATAGGGTTCCTTTATTTCAGGCTTGAAGGTGGCATTGAGACTAGTAAGGGTTATGCAATTATGCTGCGAGAAAGGGGCCTTAATGGGCCTTAGCAAGCCTTGGTGACGAGAATAAGTTTATGATCGTGGTTTATGCGGCCGTGTCTTACTCGGCCTTGTGAATGTTGAGCTAAGGCTAGGGACCTTGAGGTTAGCATAGGGCATCTTATGATGTTGTTATAAGTTTCAGAGGGTCCTGGGGTTGTCTTACAGTCTAGCACAACAGCTTTTCAACCCGAAAAAACGAAGAATGCAAAGTTCCATGAAGCTGGCGCCGCGGCATATGATGCAACCTGAGTGTCGGCAGCACAACTAAGGTACAGCAGATGCAATGCCAAGTGTGTCTGGTGCTTACTCTGCGATCTTTTGTATCACCACTGCTTTCAGCGAGTACGAGTAGGATGTCTACCTCCAGTGAAAAAATCAAGTCACAGAAACATGCATACACAATTGTGTATGTAGTTGTATGCATGGGCAGATGTAGATATAGTGCCAGCCTACAGCTGATTATATGTTTTCGGCGTGTACAACTCCTTGCGTAAGATTCTTTAAGGCAGACGCGTTGCGATGCACTCACCATCGGTCTTTCATCCATCCTCTGACAGACTTGGATCCCGGCGCATCCAGCTGCAACTGTCCCACAGAAGTTGTCCATAACCTGTACCCGACTGCAAAGCTTGTCGGGTGTCGGCGCTCCAAGTTGGAATTGGTCTTGTTGCGGGGTGAGCAGTGAGACTGGGGCCCATGATACTATAACTATAATAATAAGGAGCCCCAAAATAATATAGGGGTAGTTATGAATAATAAGGAGCCCCAAAATAATATAGGTAATTATTAATACTAAGGAGCCCCAAAATAATATCGCGCGCGGTAATTATTAAGGCCCCTATATTTGTTTCACCTTCTCTATGTTCGGACTCAGGGGTTCAGGCGTCGACCCGCAAACTCAAACTCGGATGAGGAAGGCCGGGTTGTTCTGGGAGTTTCCGAAACTAAGGGTTTAGGTTTTCGGGTTTAAGGTTTTTTTGCCTCCTACTTAGCAAGGACAAGCCCGCATTGCAGGGTTTAGTTTAGGGTTTAGGGGTACCTTATTTTGGGGGTCCTAATAATAGGGATCCTACTATTTAGGGTTCTATACTAGGGTCCCCTATTTTCGGAAACCCCCTTGTGGTTCTGGGCGTAGGCTAGAAATCACCACGTGCAGTGGGGACTTAGGCACTTGCAGCGCCAAGGGCCGGCTTGCTTTGAGCGACATGCTGCCTTACACGGCTACCCAGCAGCCATCTGCCAGGAACTTCGCAACACAAGCTATATAACATCAACCGTGGGTTTAGCATTTTGGGGATCCTCTTATCTTGGAAAACATCGAGCATCCAACATTGCACACGAGCCAAGCAAGGACGAGTGACTGATTCACGCGCGGACCGGAACATCGACCGCTCCAGGAGCCCAAACGTCTCAGTGCCTCTTGTTAGGCCCTGCCCCGGGCCAGGGAGTGAGACCCTAAACCCTAAACCCTTTTGCAACTGGACCCTAAACCCTAAACCCTGAAACCGGCGATACTGAAAGAGTCTTGGTTGCCAAAGGGCCTGGTCGAAGTTCATACCTGGAGGCCTTGGCGAAGCTTTCAGCAAAGCCTTACAGCTTACGGCTTACGACCCACATGAGCCACGCTGAAGCTGAAGCTGCTTATGAGCTCGAAGCGCGTAGAAGAGGCTCCACTGCTGCTGGGTTAAGTTTGGCCTGCCTTCCAGTGCCTAACTGCGCTGACCTCTCGAGGCACGGACGTGTGTTCGACCAGCCACTTTCCAAGGTCTCCCGGTGACCTGAAGCATTATGCTGGCCACCGGTGTGGCATCTTGTCAGCTGAACCCTGGCATGTGGCAAATATCGCTGCTCCGTCAGAGCACTGGGAGACGACTTTGTCAATGCTTCTCCTCCTCGGAACTTGCTGCAACAGCCTTTCTGTACACTGTACAATAACCCTCTTGCAGCACTCATGGGTGCAGGGCTAGGAGGGGTGGCTTCAGTTGCCGCCGACGGTTAATCTTTTGCAGCAGACGGTCATAAGGTCGGTCAAACAGCCACTACAAGCGAGGCTGCTCAGCCGATGGACCAGAGTCTGAAGGAGTTGTCGGGAGAAACCTTGCCGAGCATTGCTGTCGTTCTGCTTTCTCAGACCAGGTTACAAGGTCGATAACAGACTCAGAAGTGATGCTGCAAAGACTCTGAGGACTTACGCAGCACGGCACGCTTGCCCGAAGCAGATCGAAACAACCTGCGCAAAAAAGATTGGCATGCGGCATGCCAGAAAGTCATGCAGGCACTGGTGCAGTCGCCTTCTGAGTCAACGTAATCCGAAACACACCCTAGCCCGAGCACTCATGTCAGCGATGCACCGGTCAAGTCAACAGATACCCCGGAGTAGAACCCTGATAGAAATAAGACAAAGCGTGACTATGCACTGGAAATGCTCTGACAAAGATGCAATCGAGTGGTGGCGTGTAGCTGCGAGCCGGGATCCTTAAGGCACTCAACAAAGGAGAGTCACCGCATCGGACCGGTGGGAAGGAGCACGCGTGAAGCACCGCATGACTCTGGGCGTGATAGCTGATGAACAGTTAGGGTGCCAACCAGAGCATGAAACCTTGAGCACGAGGCCCAGCAAAAAAACATGACCAACTTGCAAGCCCGCATGCCGTCGCGACAACAGGAGTGCTTGCACATTCGCCGCCGATGTTACAACACAGCGCCGTAGGTAAGTACAAAAAGCATCTTTTGAACGATTCTGCCCTTGCAGGCCTCCCCTGCTCGCAGGGCGCATCGAGACAAGCCAGGATGCAAGCGTTACCAGTGGTAACAATTACCATGCGTGGTGCCCAGAGCACCTTCCTGGTCGAGTTGCTCCCCAGCAGGCGCTTTAGCCCATCGCCCCGCTGTCATTCACCATTCTCACCCATGGTGCGTTGGCCCCAAGGAGCATTGGGAATACCCGTGCACACTGCGCCCCACACCCGGCCAACGGTGTGGAAGGAGTGCGTGTATGGGGTGATGCTATCTCCTTCTGGGTAGGGCGGACGCGAACTCACACAACACACTGATGCAGCTGCACGCATGACAGTCTGCATCCCTTGCTGGGTCGGCAGCACATATTCAGCGGATGCCATTTTTCTCGCACAGAAGCTCAGCTGGACCAGGGCTGCGCTCAATCTGTACTCCACAGCCGGACATAGGGTCAAAATACTGACATCTTCTCCAAATTCTGTCTTACTGCCCTTCACAATAACAGCTTCGCAACTTTGCAAGGTACACCACCTTGGAAAATGCCGCAATGAAGTGCCAACAGGACCAAGACAAGGGACTGCATTGCAAAGAACATGTCAGCGATCTGCTGTGCTCGATGGATGCTTGTGACCGACATCCAACCATCAAGAATTCATTGCCCTCAAAGGCAAAGGCCTTCCCTGCAAACAGGGTGCATCCAACTCCCACAGAGCTCGAAACCGGGATGCAAGAGTTTCCATGCATGGTGCCCAGAGCACCTTCCCGGACGGTTTGCTCCCCAGCAGGCGCGTTA